CGCACACACAGACGAACTGATCCTGTCTTTAAGCTCCAGCAGCAGGAGATGAACTTTAATATCTGAAACATGATGAATAATTACACTGAGATGAAAAAGTCTGAATAAATAAGATCACAAAGGATCAAATCCTCCCTGTGACCACGACAGCCTCCATCCGCACAAACTAAAGAGTGGAGCCCGTCATTATAAATTAACCCTGAAAACACCCACCTAATAGTTTTTTCTGAATAAAAGAGTTATTTTTTTTCTGTGTTTACCAGTCTGAGTAAATGAGGTAAACAGCAGGTGGAGCTCACTGTTCATGCAGACAAAGAATGAAAACTGTCGAAGCTCCAAACTTTCTTTTATCTGCATGACTGATGAGAAAAGTCAGAGCGACACCTGCGTGACCGGCCGGGCGTCTTTTCAGGTGAAGAACCTGTGGCGCTGCGAGTCTTTTCACCGAGATTCATGAACGAATGTAGAAACTGTAAAAACTAACACTGAGCTCGCTGCTGTACAAGAAAGAAAATAACGGTGTGGCTTTTTGGCCTTCATCAGCTGCTTTGGCAGTAAAGCTGACCGAGCTTCGAAGAAGCTTCAAACGGACTGAAGCTCTGACACAGTGATTAAACTTGACTTACACGCTGCTCCCCGACTCATCACAGAAACAAATCAGCGAGTCACAGCGACGAACTAGACTGACATGCATCGATTAGATTGAGATGGACCCCCGGCTGACCTGTGCCACGTGATCACACAGAAGAAACTCTGGCAATCGGCTGGTCATCTCCTGAAAGTGAAATGCAATCGATGAGCAACCGCAGAATTTTCTGGGCTGTGGATCCACATCACACCACACACAGGTGATGATGTCACAGGTTTCATTTCTCAGAAGCTTCAGTGTCACATGATTCATGTAAACCATCAATCACTCGCTGCTCCACTTTGACTTCTGCCATCATTTGCAGGATTCACTCAGTATTTTCCAAATATTGCAGTTGGCTCCCTTTAGCCCAGGGGCGTTCTAGCCCATCTTTGGGGTGCTGAAGCCACCCCAAAATGAATCAGAGCACCCAAAGATTTCTTACTTTTTTTTGACAATATTTGCTGTTTGTGTGACACGCTACTAAAAATATAAAAACCATACAGTACTTGGTTGGTACGTAATATTTTAACAACAAAAGTATAGATAACCCCTTCCATAATGGATTGTTCCAGCTCTCCCCTGCTCTGGCTCTAGCGCCCTTTCTGCCAGAGCTGAGACGCAGCAGAGCGGAGGTGTGAGTGCCTGGCTTAAAACAGGACATGTTAGATGCATTTAACCTTCAGTTACTCTTTATATAGTTGGTAGGAGTCAGACCATGTTTCTTTTTGACTGAAAAACATTACACCAGGTAACCTGCAGTGTGGGAAACGTGTTT